GTATATCTGTGTGGGAGTGTATGCATGAGTTGCATACACAGAGAAAATTATAAATGTGTATATGTGTGTACACATACATATGGTGGATATATTTTAGGGAGCTTCTAGAGTAGTTGGTTTCCACATTGCTTTCTTCTTTTGTTTTGTTTTGTTTTTCAAGATGGGGTTTCTCTGCATTGCCCAGGCTGTCCTGGAACTCTCTTTGTAGACCAGGCTGACCTTGAACTCAGAGATCCACCTGCCCCTGCCTCCAAGTGCTGGAATTAAAGGCGTGTGTCATCACTGCTTTCTTTCTGTTTTTATTGTTAGTTATTCCTCTCTGTACTTACCCCTCTCTTAGCTCTTCCTGATCCATTGTCCCCTGCTGTGTGGGCACTGGGAATTGAAGCTGGGTCCTATGGAAGAGCAGCCGCTGCTCTTAACTGAGGAACCATCTCTCTACTCCCCTTATTTTTTTAAAGATGACTATTATTATTGTTGTTGTTGTTATTGTGTATGGTGGATAGAAGAAAGGAGTGGCCAGGGGGATCTGGTGCCTCCGATCTCCTCAAACACTAAACTCACATGCATATACCCCCACACAGGGATACGAACACACATATAACTAAAAAACACTCTTAGCTTGGTGTGGTGATACACACCTTTGATCCCAGTACTCAGGATGCAGAGGCAGGCAGATCTGTGTGAGTTTAAGGTCAGTCTGGTCTAGATAACGAGTTCCAAGACAGCCAGAGTGACATAGTGAGACCCAAACAAACGAGAGAGAGAGAGAGAGAGAGAGAGAGAGAGAGAGAGAGAGAGAGAGAGAGAGAGAGTTGTCATGACAGGATGGTGGGGGAGGCCCAGAGGAAAGCTGTGAGAAATTCCAGAAGCCAAAGAAAAATGCTCAACTTTTATATTTTTTCAGAAGATGAAGGGAAGTTTGGCAGCACATGATTTGGTGTGGGTTGGTATATGTGATGAGCAGAATGGGCCGCCAGCAACGGTTAGGCCATAGATTAGTTAAAAGACCACAGGCAGAGCTTCAGGGGGATGAGGCCTGATTTCCTTAGCCTGTGAGATCTGGCCTCCTAGAGTGAGCAGGTACAGGACCATGATCTAATAGCATATGCATGTACAGCGTGCATGCGTGTGTGTGTGTGTGTGTGTGTGTGTGTGTGTGTGTGCGCGCGCGCGCGCACGCACGCGCACATGGTAGTCAGAGGACAACCTTTGGGAGTCGGTTCTCTCCTTCCATCACGGGTCCCAGGGCTTGAACTCGGGCCATCAGGCTGTGTGGCAAGCACCTTCGCCCACTGGAGCCGTATCACCAGCTGATTTTCTCCTTCATGAGAGTTCCTTCTGTTGTGGGACTTTTCCCTGGAGAGGCGTGAACACAAGTTCCCTGCAGATAGGGCAGCAGCAGCAGACTAAAGAATGACTCCAGGTCTAGTTCTGTGAGCCAGTGTTTACCTGGAGTTGCTTCCATAGTGTGGATAAAGGGTTACCCGCAGGAGCATGTACAACCTACACAAGGACCTTCCTCCTAGCCAACCATTAACGGGCTCGGGAGCCCTCCCCTTCCCT